GCATCTGTTAAGTTCAGAACAGGACTATTTTAGAGAAACACATGAAAACTGCTGATATTTTAATATTTTACAGTGTTTATTGCTGCTCAGTAACCAAATACAGCACAACATATTCATAAAACACAAACAATAGTCCATTTCTCTCTTTGTACTTAAAAATAAATGAAAAGTGTTTGATTTAAACATGACCTGATCATTTTACAATGAAAATAAAAGACAGAACAATGAATAAATAAATAAGAATAAGACAAAATCAAAAATCCTATTTGTCTAATGTTCATTTAAGCTGTATATTAGCTGAGAATTTAAATAAACTGTTGTTATTATCTGTGTTCTGTTCATACACACATAATCCTCAGTAATAATTCCTCTAAAGTATCTTTAGTCTACATTGCACTGAAAGTCACGCTCAACTCTCACCGCTACAGCGTCAGATCATTTCTACTGTGTTTGTCTGGAGGGCGCGAGTGCGTCAGTCTGCTTTTCAAGTCGTGTGCACACCGCTCCTAATATGCGCACGTCTCCATTGGAGATTATGAACTTGTGTGCGGAAAAGACGCAATATGTAAACCATCACTGCATCTAAAATGGTGAAAAGCCTCGGAGTAATGATTGATGACCAGCTAAACTTCTCTGAGCACATCTCTAGAACAGCTCGATCGTGCAGATTCTCACTCTACAACATCAGAAAGCTCTGACCCTTCTTATCTGAACATGCAGCTCAACTCCTTGTTCAGGCTCTTGTTCTCTCCAGACTGGACTATTGCAACTCTCTACTAGCCGGGCTTCAGCTAACTCTATCAGGCCTCTTCATCTGCTTCAGAACGCAGCAGCACGAGTGGTCTTTAATGAAGCTAAAAGAGCACATGTCACTCCGCTGCTCATCCGTTTGCACTGGCTGCCAGTTGCTGCTCGCATCAAATTCAAAGCTCTGATGTTTGCCTACAAAGTGACTTCTGGCTTTGCTCCTTCTTATCTGCTCTCACTTCTGCAGATGTATGTGTCCTCCAGAAACTTGCGTTCTGTGAATGAACGTCGCCTCGTGGTTCCATCCCAAAGAGGGAAGAAATCACTTTCCCGAACTCTCGTGCTCAATCTGCCCAGTTGGTGGAATGAACTCCCTAACTGCATCAGAACGGCAGAGTCACTCGCTGTCTTCAAGAAACCACTAAAAACTCAACTATTTAGTCTCCACTTCACTTCCTAATCTGTAATTGCCTCTCTGACTCCACCGCTAACTGTACTAAAGAAAAAAAGTTGCTTGTAAGTCGCTTTGGATAAAAGTGTCTGCTGAATGACTAAATGTAAATGTGAACCGCCTCTGCTGCTTTAGTTAATACAGTGTGCGTGCTTATCGGCATAACTTTGTGTAGTTGCAGCAGTTTTGTTCTGTGCAACAGAATCGCGGCGTTGTGAAGCCTTTAGTGAAATCTGCTAATCATTGAATCCCTAACAACGATATCAGTGCATTGAACAAAAGTTCTTTTCTAAACATATCCAAATGTTTTCGGCTGCCCGCACCACTCGCTTAATGTCAGGCGACTCGTGCGCTGCACAGCCTTCAACTGCAGCTCGTGCGGTATTAAACAGACGCACGTCACTTCATCACTATAGCGGCCGCTTTTCGACTGAACTAAATTTATTTCTGATGTCTTGGTCACACTGTTTAGAGGACTGGAACAAACTGCCTCAGGGGCCGGGTTCAGCCCGCTGGCCGCCAATTGAATAACCCTGAGTCTATATGTTTATGCTATGATTTGGGAGATCATTTTCAGGCCTGTAGCCAGGAGAGTTTGGGTGGTTTGAAAGACTCACCCCGCACTGACAAAGGTCCAGAATTTGTCATATACATGAGCTCATTTGTCCTATTTTGACTTCTATGACTAGTAAAAATAACTGATCAAAAAAGGTTTTAGGACCAAGAGGAATCCTCGGTGTGACTTCAGCTAATCAGTGTTTGCCAGTGCACATAATTATTCAACATCTGTGCAGGAAAACCTACAGTCTGACATAAGTGAGGTCATCTTTCACTACTGTATTGTTTTAAATGTGTTTAAAAATAAGTCACTTTTATTATAAATCGTCAAACTTATACTTTAAACAAAAAATGACCAATAAAAAGGTGTGAAGCACCAAAAGTGACTGATATTAAAGTTAATTTGAAGACTATTTTGGCTATTTTTTTATCCAATAATTTTTAAATGAACTTTTCTTGGGTTATGATGACCATCCGACAATCTTTCAGCTAAAATAGCGCTTAAATGTCACTAAAATGCACCATTTAAATCTCTTAAATAAATAGTAGCCTGAATGAGGTATAAAGGTCCACTTTTAGAGAAATAAAGGCTGGCTACGGGCCTGCTTTCACCCAATTATCCCTAAAGTTATTCTCCACTGATAAATTGCATAATATTTTACATTTTTATCAAAACTATTAACTCTTTAAGGCTCAATTTAAGTTGTTTATTCATATTCATGCCAGTTTACAGGCACCATCCTGCATCTGTTGGTTAGAAGAAACTGTGGTTAGAGTTTCAGGAATAACCACACTCGTCCAGCAGAGGGCCATGAAGAGCCACTCAGACAGAGCAGAGCCATTCTGCCCCTTAACTCAAGCTGTAAATGCATCTCTGCTGTGTCTAGAGAGAGTGTGTGTGTGTGTGTGTGTGTGTGTGTGTGTGTGTGTGTGTGTGTGTGTGTGTGAGTTTGAGCTGAGTACAGCACACAGATCATGTTCTCCAGCTGTTTTGGCGATTGTTGCTTTAAATGCAAATGAGATTGTGATTATTTCAGAAGAGGGCGGAGCTACAGGCGGCTGTGTGTCAGCATAGCAACAGATGTAAAACAGACTGACCTCGAAGGTGTGGTCGAGCCTGTAGACGGGTGAGGAGTTCATGGCGCTCACCACCTCCAGCACACCATTGAAGTTGTTGAGCTCCTGAAAGACCTGCAGGATCTCAATGATACGCGACACCACGGACACACGCTCCTCCACATTCTCCGTCTCCACTATACACCTGCACAGAGAGAGAGGGAGAGAGTTACACACACACACACACACACACACACACACACACACACACAGAGACAGACAGACAGACAGGTGTCGTACTTCTCCAGCCAGAGTGTGAGGTTGGTGGTGTGTCTGATCATCCTCAGCAGGTTTGGAGAGTTGATCTCTTTATCTTCTTTAGTCCAGACGCTTCCCACCAGCTCTGACGGCTGCACCGCCCTGAGGAGAAACACAGACACACACACACACACACACACACACACACACACTTACTCTCAGCACTACACACACACTACAAACACACTACCACTATACCTCACTGTTATGATACATTTGGTGTGTGTGATACAGATGTGTGAGTGTGTGTCTGTCTGTGTATGTGTGGCTCTGTCTGTTGGTGTGTGTATGTGTGTGTGTGTTTGTGTGTGTGTGCGCTTTGGATTGGTTCAGTGTTTTGGGAGACGGGTGCACAGCGCAGAACGGCCTCATGGGAAACTGAGCTGAGCTGGTGACCTTGGGTACGCCGCTTACTGCCTGTTCCCACAGAGGTGAAGGGAAGTGTGTGTGTGTGTGTGTGTGTGTGTGTGTGTGTGTCACAGCTGGACGCTCTATTGTGTTAAACTGCCCCATTTTCTGTGCAGCCAGTTGCCATCGGAGCAGAAAATAAAAATACAAACAGGAAGTCCAGCCTTTTCCCTTATAAAGACACAAAGCCACATTAAAATAGAAGCAGCGGCAGCGAATACTGGACTGAGAAACCAGCGGCTCCGTCCTGCTGAGTGCGGATACACAGTGAACCCAATACAACTGAATCACACTGTCAACATGAACCAATGAACTGAATGTGATGCATATCCACAAATCAGATATCTGCACTAACAACATATGACTGACTGTCTCCATCTAGTGTCTGAATAATGCACAGGTTAGTGTATACTCCATCAGCTGTTTCTGACTGTCTCCATCTAGTGTCTGAATAATGCGCAGGTTAGTGTATACTCCATCAGCTGTTTCTGTCTCCATCTAGTGTCTGAATAATGCACAGGTTAGTGTATACTCCATCAGCTGTTTCTGACTGTCTCCATCTAGTGTCTGAATAATGCGCAGGTTAGTGTATACTCCATCAGCTGTTTCTGTCTCCATCTAGTGTCTGAATAATGTGCAGGTTAGTGTATACTCCATCAGCTGTTTTAGACTGTCTCCATCTAGTGTCTGAATAATGCGCAGGTTAGTGTATACTCCATCAGCTGTTTCTGACTGTCTCCATCTAGTGTCTGAATAATGTGCAGGTTAGTGTATACTCCATCAGCTGTTTCTGACTGTCTCCATCTAGTGTCTGAATAATGCGCAGGTTAGTGTATACTCCATCAGCTGTTTCTGACTGTCTCCATCTAGTGTCTGAATAATGATGCAGCAGAGCAGTCTGTTAATGAGGAAGCGGTGTGTCCCACAGTGTGCACACTCCTTTGTTACACACTTATGTACTTTTTCTTCAGGAAAATAGTGCATACTTTATGATGTAGTATAAGTGTGTGAATTGGGACGCAACTGTGTCTCACCTGTAGAAGTGTGACTCCAGTAGTTAACCACACACACACACACACACACACACACACACACACACACACGCACACACACACGCACACACACACGCACACACACACAGGGTCTCACCTGTAGAAGTCAGACTCCAGCAGTGTGAGCTGGCGGGCGATCTCGATGGGGTGGAGGGTCATCAGGTCGAACTGCTCCACCTGTCCCGCTCTGCACAGGTGCCACTCGATGGCGGGCGGAGAGCTCTCGAAGGTGATGTTGTGGCTGGAGCCGCTGGCCTGCGCCTGCTTCTTCCTCTGGATGATCTTCGTGATGGACTCCACCCACTTCCTCATGGCTTTACCTGCACATACACCAAGACGGCAGACTGTTGATGAGTGCTGCGAGCCATATTCCATATGATATCAGTGTTTACATGACGTTTCCCTTCAGACACACTGTGTTCATTAGACAAGTTTCAAATGCAGTGAGCAGCACGATCGCCTCACAGCAAGGTCTCTGGTTTGAGTCTCGGCTGGGTCAGTTGGTGTTTCTGTGTGGAGTTTGCATGTTCTCCCCGTGTTGGCGTGGGTTTCCTCCGGGTGCTCCGGTTTCCCCCACAGTCCAAACACATGCGCTATAGGGGAACTGATCAACTACACTGGCACTAGTGTATGAGTGTGTGTGTAAATGAGAGTGTATGGGTGTTTCCCAGTACTGGGTTGCAGCTGGAAGGGCATCTGCTTTGTAAAACATATGCTGGAAAAGTTGGCGGTTCATTCCACTGTGGCAATCCCCGATTAAAAAAAGAGACTGAGCCATAAAGAATGAATGAATGATTAAAATAATCAGGGAACATCTATTTTCCAGATTTCATTAGTTCTAATTCAGATTGCATGTGTGGAGTGTGTGTGTGTGTGTGTGTGTGGAGTGTGTGTGTGTGTGTGTGTGTGTGTTCTCACCCTGTGACTGCAGCAGACCTGAGCTCCAGCAGGACCATACACACCCAAAAACACCCTAACACACACACCCAAACACACTTAACCACACCAGCAGCATCTTCCTGAATCTGTCTGTGTGTGTGTGTGTGTGTGTGTGTGTGTGTGTGTTCTCATAATGTCACTGCAGCAGACCTGAGCTCCATACACACTGGCAGCAGCAGCATCTTTCTGAATGTGTGTGTGTGTGTGTCTCACCTTGAGGATCTCAAAGTAGTGCAGACAGTGATAGACTGGAGTGAGCAGCAGCCGTGGCAGAACATACTGAACAGCCTCCTTAAAGCCCTCGCAGATCGACTGAAACACACACACACACACACACACACACACACACACACACACACACACACAGATGAGTCTAATTCAACACACACTCTCTCTTAGACACAAACAAATAAACAAACAGACAAACTATATATTACACACACACACACACACACACACACACACACACACACACACACACACACACACACACACACACACACACAGCTCTGACCTGCAGGTATATGGCGGCTCCAGGTTTGTACAGCTGACTCAGGAAGTGCTCATGGAAGCCGCTGCGCAGGATATCCTGTGCGTACGTCTCGTAGGGGTCAAAGGCCAGCTCCTGAAAATGGCCCACACCCACCGTTAATCAATGACACTGACCTCTATTGTTACACCGCCACCCAGAACACACACGGCTCACACACACACACACAGCTGAAATACCAGCAGCTCACTCACAAACACTGCCACCCAATACACACACACACACACACACACACACACACACACACACACACACACACACACAGATGCTGGAATACACTGATGATGTAAGTTCCTACTCTTACAGTGACTGACTTTAAAATGACGTCATTAAATACACTTAATGTTTGTGTACGCGTGTGTGACTATGATGTGTGTGTAGTTTGTTTAAAGTGTGTGTGTGTATGTATCTCGGTATGTGTATTGTGTGTGCACGTAGGACTATGTGTATGTCAGTGTATGCGCGTGCGTGCATGTGTGTGTGTGTGTGAGACTGTGTATGACTATGCAAACATATGTGTGCATACTGTGTGTGTGTGTGTGTGTGTGTGTGTGTGTGTGTGTTCACACCTCAGCGAGGTCCTCAAAGCAGTAGCCCACGAGCGGGTGCGGGCTGCTCTCGTCCGTCATCTCCACCGTGTCCTCGATGAGGCCCAGCAGCTTCACCGTCACCTCATGTACATCCACTATACGACTGAAGATGCTCTCCACATCCTGCACACACACACACACACACACACACACACACACACACACACACACACACACACACACACAATAACATCAGGAGGAGGAGAATGAACTGCCGTGTGTAGGTAACAGCAGTGTGCATGTATGTACTGCTGTGAGTGTGTGTGTATACTGACGTGTGCTGAGAACAGCAGTGTGTGTGTGTTGAAGGGCTCTCTGAAGACCCTGATGATGAGGTTGAGGTCCCGCAGGTATTGCCGCAGCTCCGCCATGAAGGTCTTCACCAGCTCATAGTAGCTCTGCTCCTCTGTGGCCGACGGCTCCTCGTCCAGCAGAGGGAACACACTGATGTCCTCCTCCACCTGGTGGAACATGTCCATCAGCACCTGCACACACACACACACACACACACACACACACACACACACACACACACACACAATAATCAGTGAACATGAGGAGCATGTGTGTTTATTCTCTCAGGATCTGCTGCTGTTTTCAGTGTCTCCGTTCAGTCACTGATCCACATCATCACCTGCACCTGTGACCATATCTTATATTCAGATTAATATTTTATTTCTTATTTGTACATAAAAAAATGTCAATAATGCACACATTGAACATAAACCATCTAGATGTATATACACTCAGCGGCCACATTATTAGGTACACCTCACTAGTACCGGGTCGGACCCATTTAGTCTTCAGAACCGCTTTAATCCTTCATGTCAGAGATTCAACAAGCTGCTGGAAATATTCCTCAGAGATTTTGCTCCATGTTGTCATGATAGCATCACACAGTTGCTGCAGATTTGTCGGCTGCACATCCATGATGCCAATCTCCTGTTCCACCACATCCTAAAGCTGCTCTATTGGATTGAGCTCTGGTGACTGTGGAGGCCATTTGAGTACAGTGAACTCATCGTCATGTTCAAGAAACCAGTCTGAGATGATTGAGCTTTATGACATGCTGCGTTATCCTGCTGGAAGTAGCCATCAGAAGATGGAGACACTGTGCTCATAAAGGGATGGACATGGTCAGCAGCAATACTCAGGTAGGCTGTGGCGTTGATGCTCAATTGGTACTAATGGACCCAAAGAAAATCTCCCCCACACCATTACACCACCACCACCAGCCTGAACCGCTGATACAAGGCAGGATGATCCATGCTTTCATGTTGTCTGAGCCGAGCATCTGAATGTGTCAGCAGAAATGGAGACTCATCAGAGCAGCAACGTTTCTCCAATCTTCTATTGTCCAGTTTTGGTGAGTCTGTGTGAATTGTAGCCTCAGTTTCCTGTTCTTAGCTGACAGGAGCGGCACCCGGTGTGCTCTTCTGCTGCTGTAGCCCATCTGGAACCAGTCTGGCCATTCTCCTCTGACCTCTGGTCTCATCAACAAGGCATTTACGCTCACAGAACTGGCGCTCACTGGATATTTCCTCTTTGTCGGAGCATTCTCTGTAAACCCTAGAGATGGTTGTGCATGAAAATCCCAGTAGATCAGCAGTTTCTGAAATAATATGTGAGCTGCTGTCCTGTGATTGGTCTAGTAGACATTAGTGTTATCCAGCAGTTAGACTGGTGTACCTAATAAAGTGGCCGGTGAGTGTGTATAGCTTTAGAATTTGTATTGTTTAATGTATTTTCCACTTATTCAAATGTCCTTCTGTGTTTTGTGATGATGATGATGTGTGTGTGTGTGTGTGTGTGTGTGTGTGTGTGTGTGTCCCGAGCTCCTGAAAAAATCACAATATTCTTGTGTGTTTGAGCACACTTGTTGAAAACAGCTCACTCTGATTACAGTGTGTGTGTGTTCAGTGTGTGTGTGTGTGTTTTACCTTATCAGCACACATGGCCACAGTGATGTCCTGCTGTGAGATCTCATAGTGCCGGATGTTTCTGACGTAGTTTCCAGCCAGCTTCAGTATGTCTGCAGAGATGTACTCCAGCACCGCCACGATGTACACCGACACCTGGTGGTCGATCTTATAGCCCAGAACCTCCTGCAGGACCAGAGAAAACACAACATCTTACAACATCTAAACTACAATGAGACATTTTCTCTTAATCTCCAGCCCTATTTAGTCTCCTTCAAGCTGTTATAAACCTGCATGAGTTTCTTTCTTCTGTTGAACAATAAAAAGATGTTTTGATGGAAACCTATAACCATTCATTTACACAGTATTAGTTTTTTCTGCTATGGAAGTAAATGGTTACCGGTTTCCAACATTCTTCAAAATATCATTTATAGTGTTCAACAGAAGAAAGAAATTCATCAGGGTTTAGAAACACTTGAGGAAGTGTAAATAGTGAGCAACTGTTCATTTTTGGGTGAACTGACCCTTTAAACAGACAGATGCAGCGGTGGCGCCATCATCTGGACACCAGCTGAACTGACGGACCAGACACACTATGCAGCAGCAATTATAAGTTTGTTTTTATTTCACTACTATTTATAATTTGCTTCAAATTCAGTTTTAACTATAACTATAAAAATAACATGATATTTTGAATAAACACTGATTTCAAAACCATACAAATACAACAAATTGAAGTTACATCACAATAAAAATCCATCGTCGTATTAACAATCATGCTGTAAATGTAGTAAAACATGCCGGATTTACATTTTTGGCAATTTAAGAAAAGTCAGAACATGTTTAAGTCTATATAAGGATGTTTAATCATAACAGTGTTAATAACTCATCTCTAATAACTGATGTGTTTCCTCTTCTCCATGATGACAGTAAATAATATTAGTCTAGATATTCTTCAAGACACTAGTGTTCAGCTTAAAGTCACATGTAAAGGCTTCACTAGGGTAATTAGGGTAAAGTTAGGGTAATTAGGCAAGTCATTGTATAACAGTGGTTTATTCTGGAGACAATCCAAAACAGTAATCATTTCTTAAGTGGGCTAATATTATGATCAATATCATGATACCACATATAAAAGCTTCAGTAATTAATCACAGCAAGAACTTTAAAGTTAAGGATAAAGAAGATCCAGCAGGTTGTTATCTCAGAATAAAGACACTAATTATTTTCTTTCTTCTCTATTTCCACCTGGGGATCCTCGTCTCGAGGCCTCTAGAGATTGTGCAGCGCCATTAATGAGACCTGTGAAGAGATGATGTCAATCACAGAGCACTTCTAGTGGTCTCCATAATCCTGGACCAGGCCGTATCCTGAGCTGATGCTGTAGTGGTCATGGAGGAGTGGAGAACATGAGACTGATTCCTGAAAGACCCCAGAGCCAGACGAGTCTCCACATTAATCCTGTGGGCTAGCCTGAACACCAGCCTGTGCCCTACTCACACCTGCAGCTTCTCCACGATGGACATCCAGCGTTCTCCAGCATCCCGCGCCTACACTGCAGCTCTACACTAACCTGCGCATTATTCAGACACTAGATGGAGACAGTCAGAAACAGCTGATGGAGTATACACTAACCTGCACATTATTCAGACACTAGATGGAGACAGTCAGAAACAGCTGATGGAGTATACACTAACCTGCACATTATTCAGACACTAGATGGAGACAGTCAGAAACAGCTGATTGAGTATACACTAACCTGCACATTATTCAGACACTAGATGGAGACAGTCAGAAACAGCTGATGGAGTATACACTAACCTGCACATTATTCAGACACTAGATGGAGACAGAAACAGCTGATGGAGTATACACTAACCTGCACATTATTCAGACACTAGATGGAGACAGTCAGAAACAGCTGATGGAGTATACACTAACCTGCACATTATTCAGACACTAGATGGAGACAGTCAGAAACAGCTGATTGAGTATACACTAACCTGCACATTATTCAGACACTAGATGGAGACAGTCAGAAACAGCTGATGGAGTATACACTAACCTGCACATTATTCAGACACTAGATGGAGACAGAAACAGCTGATGGAGTATACACTAACCTGCACATTATTCAGACACTAGATGGAGACAGTCAGAAACAGCTGATGGAGTATACACTAACCTGCACATTATTCAGACACTAGATGGAGACAGTCAGAAACAGCTGATGGAGTATACACTAACCTGCACATTATTCAGACACTAGATGGAGACAAACAGACAGAAACAGCTGATGGAGTATACACTAACCTGCGCATTATTCAGACACTAGATGGAGACAGTCAGAAACAGCTGATGGAGTATACACTAACCTGCACATTATTCAGACACTAGATGGAGACAGTCAGAAACAGCTGATGGAGTATACACTAACCTGCGCATTATTCAGACACTAGATGACGCCAAACAGACAAAAACTGAACTCAGCGGTTGTTATCTGGGAATAATATAGCATGGAATGTCACGACTGACCAATCAGAAGTGAGAATTTTAGGCTGACCTTGAGCAGTGGATGTATCTTGTCCACGGGCAGCGCCAGCGGGTTCCTCCTCTTCCTCTTCTCGATGGCGGCCTGAGCATCTGCGATCGCCCATTTCTCTATCGGGTGTGGAAAACTCCTCTGCACACGCTCCTGAGCAACACAAACACACACGTCAAACACACACACATACACACACACATCTGAGGGGCCACACGGGATCAGCACTAAGAGGTGAGCAGATGAGTGTGCAGGGTTCCCACTGTAAACAAATGAGAATGCCCTTACCATCATGCTAATTTAATAACACTCCAAATGTATTAATATAAGAATAAGTATAAAGAACAAACTCACACTGAATTAGCCGGAACAGATTGAGGAAATGTTCACAGTGTTTCTGATAATATTTGTTATTCTGGAGAAAGTCTGATTTGTTTTATTTCAGCTAGAATAAAAGCAGTTTTTAATTTTTTAAACACCATTTTAAGGTCAATATTATAAGGCCCTTTAAGCTCTATATTTTTCTTGATTTTCTACAGAACAAACCATCATTATACAATAACTTGCTTAATTCCCCTTACCTGCCTAGTTCCCCTAATTACCCTAGTGAAGCCTTTACATGTCACTTTAAGCTGTATAGAAGTGTCTTGAAGAATATCTAGTCTAATATTATGTGCTGTCATCATGACAAAGAGAAAATAAATCAGTTATTAGAGATGAGTTATTAACACTGTTATGATTAGAAATGTGTTGGAGAAATCTGCTCTCCACTAAACAGAAAACGGGGAAAATTTAAATATATATATATATATATTAAATATAATATATAATAAGTATACTTTCTATTAGTAGATATTAGATATTAGTATGCTTCATGACACTTTAAAATGACATGATTATTCCAGAAAGCCCAGGAGCAGTGGGAACCCTGAGTGTGTTCACAGCACAATCACACCGAGATGATGAAGGAGCAGAGGAAAGCAGAGGGAGCCGAGCATGATAAACAGCAGAGCGTTTAGCATGAGCTCGACTATAAAGCACAAACTAAAGCACCTGAGCGTCTCGTCTGTGAGCAACAAGCAGACACAAAAACAGCAGGTGAACAGCAGTTAGTGAAGAAGATCAGAGCCGTTACACAATGCAGAAATCCCATGATGCTCATCGGCGTGAAGCAACACGTCTCTCTTGCATCACGACTTCACATGACAAAGTGTTTTTCAGATTGTGTGGTTCGTCAGACTCCTCAGATGACTCTGTCCACTGCTCTGCCCTGACTGCAGTAGTGTAGTGATATTATGCTGCGCATGAAAATAGTCCCTAGCTAACAGCGCTGTGTAATATTAATGCTCCGGCTGCAGTCATGGCAGGGCAGCTCCTTGATTGTCAAGTCAGGATGAGACTGTAGGAACTTTTCATTCGATGTTAGTCTTAATACATGATGTGATTACAGAATTGTCAAGCATTTTTGAGCAGATGGTGATGGTCTAATCAGATTTATTAAGTGAAAAGTGCTCCCGCCAGAGTTGGAGACGGACTGAATGGATTCAAAAGTGGTAGAAATCTACAGTCTGACACTAGGAGAGCGGTGAAACCAGCCTATATTTAAACAGAAAGTGAAGTGCTGCTTTAATGATGTGTTGATGGTGTGTTAATGGTGCTGCTGTGTTGTTGGTGTGGTATAGCACTGGTGTGCCACTGGTCTGGTGTAGTGCAGTGTGGTGGCAATGTGGTGATGGTGTGGTGTGATGATGATGTTGTGGTGCTGGTGCTGTGATGGTGTGTTGTGGTTACAATGTTGGTGGAGTGATCATGATGTGATGCTGGTGTGCCACTTGTTTAGTAATGGTGCGGTGTGATGCTGGTATAGTGAAGTTGTGGTGCGACACTGGTGTGGTGATAGTGAAGTTGTGGTGCGATGCTGGTGTGGTGATAGTGAAGTTGTGGTGCGATGCTGGTGTGGTGATAGTGAAGTGATGGTGCGACGCTGGTGTGGTGATAGTGAAGTGATGGTGCGACACTGGTGTGGTGATAGTGAAGTGATGGTGCGACACTGGTGTGGTGATAGTGAAGTTGTGGTGCGATGCTGGTGTGGTGATAGTGAAGTTGTGGTGCGATGCTGGTGTGGTGATAGTGAAGTGATGGTGCGACGCTGGTGTGGTGATAGTGAAGTGATGGTGCGACACTGGTGTGGTGATAGTGAAGTGATGGTGCGACACTGGTGTGGTGATAGTGAAGTTGTGGTGCGATGCTGGTGTGGTGATAGTGAAGTGATGGTGCGACACTGGTGTGGTGATAGTGAAGTGATGGTGCGACACTGGTGTGGTGATAGTGAAGTGATGTTGTGACGCTGGTGTGGTGATGGTATTGCGCGACACTTGTGTGGTGATAGTGAAGTGATGGTGCAACGCTGGTGTGGTGATAGTGAAGTGATGTTGTGACGCTGGTGTGGTGATGGTATGGCGCGACACTGGTGTGGTGATAGTGAAGTGATGGTGCAACGCTGGTGTGGTGATAGTGAAGTGATGTTGTGACGCTGGTGTGGTGATGGTGTGGTGATAGTGAAGTGATGTTGTGACGCTGGTGTGGTGATGGTGTGGTGCGACACTGGTGTGGTGATAGTGAAGTGATGGTGCGACACTGGTGTGGTGATAGTGAAGTGATGGTGCGACACTGGTGTGGTGATAGTGAAGTGATGGTGCGACACTGGTGTGGTGACAGTGAAGTGATGTTGTGACGCTGGTGTGGTGATGGTGTGGTGCGACACTGGTGTGGTGATAGTGAAGTGATGGTGCGACACTGGTGTGGTGATGGTGTGGTGCGACACTGGTGTGGTGATAGTGAAGTGATGGTGCAACGCTGGTGTGGTGATAGTGAAGTGATGTTGTGACGCTGGTGTGGTGATGGTGTGGTGCGACACTGGTGTGGTGATAGTGAAGTGATGGTGCGACACTGGTGTGGTGATAGTGAAGTGATGGTGCAACGCTGGTGTGGTGACAGTGAAGTGATGTTGTGACGCTGGTGTGGTGATGGTATGGCGCGACACTGGTGTGGTGATGGTGAAGTGATGGTGCGACGCTGGTGTGGTGATAGTGAAGTGATGGTGCGACACTGGTGTGGTGATAGTAAAGTGATGGTGCGACACTGGTGTGGTGATAGTGAAGTTGTGGTGCGATGCTGGTGTGGTGATAGTGAAGTGATGGTGCGACACTGGTGTGGTGATAGTGAAGTGATGGTGCGACACTGGTGTGGTGATAGTGAAGTGATGGTGCGACACTGGTGTGGTGATAGTGAAGTGATGTTGTGACGCTGGTGTGGTGATGGTATGGCGCGACACTGGTGTGGTGATAGTGAAGTGATGGTGCGACACTGGTGTGGTGATAGTGAAGTGATGGTGCGACACTGGTGTGGTGATAGTGAAGTGATGGTGCAACGCTGGTGTGGTGATAGTGAAGTGATGTTGTGACGCTGGTGTGGTGATGGTATGGCGCGACACTGGTGTGGTGATAGTGAAGTGATGGTGCAACGCTGGTGTGGTGATAGTGAAGTGATGTTGTGACGCTGGTGTGGTGATGGTATGGCGCGACACTGGTGTGGTGACAGTGAAGTAATGGTGCGACACTGGTGTGGTGATAGTGAAGTGATGGTGCGACACTGGTGTGGTGATAGTGAAGTGATGTTGTGACGCTGGTGTGGTGATGGTATGGCGCGACACTGGTGTGGTGATAGTGAAGTGATGGTGCGACGCTGGTGTGGTGATAGTGAAGTGATGGTGCGACACTGGTGTGGTGATGGTGTGGTGCGACACTGGTGTGGTGATAGTGAAGTGATGGTGCGACGCTGGTGTGGTGATAGTGAAGTGATGGTGTGACACTGGTGTGGTGATAGTGAAGTGATGGTGCGACACTGGTGTGGTGATGGTGTGGTGCGACACTGGTGTGGTGATAGTGAAGTGATGGTGCGACACTGGTGTGGTGATAGTGAAGTGATGGTGCGACACTGGTGTGGTGATAGTGAAGTGATGGTGCAACGCTGGTGTGGTGATAGTGAAGTGATGGTGCGATGCTGGTGTGGTGATAGTGAAGTGATGGTGCAACGCTGGTGTGGTGATGGTGTGGTGCGACACTGGTGTGGTGATAGTGAAGTGATGGTGCGACACTGGTGTGGTGATGGTGTGGTGCGACACTGGTGTGGTGATAGTGAAGTGATGGTGCGACACTGGTGTGGTGATGGTGTGGTGCGACACTGGTGTGGTGATAGTGAAGTGATGGTGCGACACTGGTGTGGTGATAGTGAAGTGATGGTGCGACACTGGTGTGGTGATAGTGAAGTGATGGTGCAACGCTGGTGTGGTGATAGTGAAGTGATGTTGTGACGCTGGTGTGGTGATGGTGTGGTGCGACACTGGTGTGGTGATAGTGAAGTGATGTTGCGACACTGGTGTGGTGATAGTGAAGTGATGGTGCGACACTGGTGTGGTGATAGTGAAGTGATGTTGCGACACTGGTGTGGTGATAGTGAAGTGATGGTGCGACACTGGTGTGGTGATAGTGAAGTGATGGTGCAACGCTGGTGTGGTGATAGTGAAGTGATGTTGTGACGCTGGTGTGGTGATGGTGTGGTGCGACACTGGTGTGGTGATAGTGAAGTGATGTTGCGACATTGGTATGGTGACAGTGAAGTGATGTTGTGACGTTGTTATGGTGATGTTATGGTGCGACACTGGTGTGGTGATAGTGAAGTGATGGTGCGACACTGGTGTGGTGATGGTGTGGTGCGACACTGGTGTGGTGATGGTGAAGTGATGGTGCGACACTGGTGTGGTGATAGTGAAGTGATGGTGCGATGCTGGTGTGGTGATGGTGTGGTGCGACACTGGTGTGGTGATGGTGAAGTGATGGTGCGACACTGGTGTGGTGATAGTGAAGTGATGGTGCGAGGCTGGTGTGGTGATAGTGAAGTGATGGTGCGACACTGGTGTGGTGATAGTGAAGTGATGGTGCGACACTGGTGTGGTGATAGTGAAGTGATGGTGCGACGCTGGTGTGGTGATAGTGAAGTGATGTTGTGACGCTGGTGTGGTGATGGTATGGCGCGACACTGGTGTGGTGATAGTGAAGTGATGGTGCGACACTGGTGTAGTGATAGTGAAGTGATGGTGCGACACTGGTGTGGTGATAGTGAAGTGATGGTGCGACGCTGGTGTGGTGATAGTGAAGTGATGTTGTGACGCTGGTGTGGTGATGGTATGGCGCGACACTGGTGTGGTGATAGTGAAGTGATGGTGCGACACTGGTGTGGTAATGGTATGGTACGACACTGGTGTGGTGATAGTGAAGTGATGGTGCGACACTGGTGTGGTGATGGTGTGGTGCGACACTGGTGTGGTGATAGTGAAGTGATGTTGTGACGCTGGTGTGGTGATGGTGTGGTGCGACACTGGTGTGGTGATAGTGAAGTGATGGTGCGACACTGGTGTGGTGATAGTGAAGTGATGGTGCAACGCTGGTGTGGTGACAGTGAAGTGATGTTGTGACGCTGGTGTGGTGATGGTATGGCGCGACACTGGTGTGGTGATAGTGAAGTGATGGTGCGACACTGGTGTGGTGATGGTGTGGTGCGACACTGGTGTGGTGATGGTGAAGTGATGGTGCGACACTGGTGTGGTGATAGTGAAGTGATGGTGCGATGCTGGTGTGGTGATGGTGTGGTGCGACACTGGTGTGGTGATGGTGAAGTGATGGTGCGACACTGGTGTGGTGATAGTGAAGTGATGGTGCGAGGCTGGTGTGGTGATAGTGAAGTGATGGTGCGACACTGGTGTGGTGATAGTGAAGTGATGGTGCGACACTGGTGTAGTGATAGTGAAGTGATGGTGCGACACTGGTGTGGTGATAGTGAAGTGATGGTGCGACGCTGGTGTGGTGATAGTGAAGTGATGTTGTGACGCTGGTGTGGTGATGGTATGGCGCGACACTGGTGTGGTGATAGTGAAGTGATGGTGCGACACTGGTGTGGTGATGGTGTGGTGCGACACTGGTGTGGTGATAGTGAAGTGATGGTGCGACACTGGTGTGGTGATAGTGAAGTGATGGTGCGACACTGGTGTGGTGATAGTGAAGTGATGGTGCAACGCTGGTGTGGTGATAGTGAAGTGATGTTGTGACGCTGGTGTGGTGATGGTGTGGTGCGACACTGGTGTGGTGATAGTGAAGTGATGGTGCGACACTGGTGTGGTGATAGTGAAGTGATGGTGCAACGCTGGTGTGGTGACAGTGAAGTGATGTTGTGACGCTGGTGTGGTGATGGTATGGCGCGACACTGGTGTGGTGATAGTGAAGTGATGGTGCGACACTGGTGTGGTGATGGTGTGGTGCGACACTGGTGTGGTGATGGTGAAGTGATGGTGCGACACTGGTGTGGTGATAGTGAAGTGATGGTGCGATGCTGGTGTGGTGATGGTGTGGTGCGACACTGGTGTGGTGATGGTGAAGTGATGGTGCGACACTGGTGTGGTGATAGTGAAGTGATGGTGCGAGGCTGGTGTGGTGATAGTGAAGTGATGGTGCGACACTGGTGTGGTGATAGTAAAGTGATGGTGCGACACTGGTGTGGTGATGGTGTGGTGCGACACTGGTGTGGTGATGGTGAAGTGATGGTGCGACACTGGTGTGGTGATAGTGAAGTGATGGTGCGACACTGGTGTGGTGATAGTGAAGTGATGGTGCGACACTGGTGTGGTGATAGTGAAGTGATGGTGCGAGGCTGGTGTGGTGATAGTGAAGTGATGGTGCGACACTGGTGTGGTGATAGTGAAGTGATGGTGCGACACTGGTGTAGTGATAGTGAAGTGATGGTGCGACACTGGTGTGGTGATAGTGAAGTGATGGTGCGACGCTGGTGTGGTGATAGTGAAGTGATGTTGTGACGCTGGTGTGGTGATGGTATGGCGCGACACTGGTGTGGTGATAGTGAAGTGATGGTGCGACACTGGTGTGGTAATGGTATGGTACGAAACTGGTGTGGTGATAGTGAAGTGATGGTGCGACACTGGTGTGGTGATGGTATGGTACGACACTGGTGTGGTGATAGTGAAGTGATGGTGCGACACTGGTGTGGTGATGGTATGGCGCGACACTGGTGTGGTTATAGTGAAGTGATGGTGCGACACTGGTGTGGTGATAGTGAAGTGATGATGTAGTGATGCTCAGACTGGTGTGGTGCGATGCTATTGTGGTGACAGTGAAGTGATGGTGTAGTGATGGTGCGACGGTGGTGTGGTAACAGTAAAGTGATGGTGTAGATTTGGTGCGATGCTGGTGTGGTGATAGTGAAATGATGTTGTAGTGATGCTGGGACGGGTGTGGTGATGGTATGGTGTGATGCTATTGTGGTGATAGTGAAGTGATGGTGTAGTGATGGTGCGACGGTGGTGTGGTAACAGTAAAGTGGTGTAGATTTGGAGTGATGCTGGTGTGGTGAAGTGAAGTGATGGTGTAGTGATGCTGCGACTCTGGTGTGGTCATAGTGAAGTAATGGTGTAGATATGCTGCAACGCGAATGTGGTAATGGTATGGTGCGACGCTGGTGTGGTGTGGTGATGGTACGGTGCAACCTGGTGTGGTGATAGTGAAGTGATGGTGCGACACTGGTGTGATAATGGTGTGGTGCGATGCTATTGTGGTGATAGTGAAGCGATGGTGTAGTGATTGTGCGACAGTGGTGTGGTGATGGTATGGTTCGACACTGATGTGGTGATGGTATGGTGCGATGCCACTGATGTGGTGATGGTGAAGTGATGGTCTAGATATGCTGCGACACTGGTGTGGTGATGGTATGGTGTAATGCTGGTGTGGTGATAGTGAAGTGATGATCTAGATATGATGCAATGTACAAGTGTTGATGGTATGGTGCGATGCTGGTGTGGTGATGGTACGGTGCAATGCAGGTGTGGTGATGGTATGATGCTTTGCAGGTGTGGTGATGGTATGATGCGACGCAGGTGTGGTGATGGTATGATGCGACGCTGGTGTGGTAATAGTGAAGTGACTGTGTAGATAAGCTGCATGTGGTGATGGTGCGACGCTGATGTGGTGATGGTACGGTGCAACGCTGGTGTGGTGATAGTGAAGTGATGTTCTAGATATAATGCAACGGACATGTGGTGATGGTATGGTGCAACATGTGGTGATGGTATGGTGCAACATGTGGTGATGGTATGGTGCAACCACTGGTGTGGTGATGGTGAAGTGATGATGTAGATATGGTGCGACACTGGTATGGTAATGGTATGGTGATGGTGTAGGTGATGCTGCGAGGCTGATGTGATAGTGTGATGCTGGTGTGGTGATGGTGCAGTGATGGTGTGACATTGGTGTGCTGACAGTGTTCACCTCCACATCCTGTACAGTGCGAGGCTGTGCCTGGCAGAGTGTGTTGAGCAGCACCAAGATCAGCCCCTCGATGTACTGCAGCGCCTCCTGCTGGGACGACAGCTTCGGGTGCACCTGATTAAGCACCTGAAACACACACAGAGTATCAAACACACCACAATATTACTACAGATCCAAACAACAGCAAATACTACAGGAAGAGAGTCTGTATTCCTCCTCCACCAGAGTCTGTGTGTGTGCAGCTTCCACCACCAGATATTTTTACAAACACACTCAAAGACGCTCAACATTTAGGGGACCGTTTGTGTTCTAGAAAAATTTGCCTGAGGTCATCTTCCTGTTGAGACATCATTAAAACACACACACACTTCCCCATGTGTTTTTGTGTGTGACGTTGTGTGAAATCCTCCACCACAAAGGACACACACACAAACACACCACATACAAGCAGCGGTGCTCATGACATCACTGCAGCGATGG